TTCAAATCTGTTCCTGAAATCCACCGAGTGTCGTCGGGATCGCATGCTTTGAATGTAACTTTGTACTGTCGAGGCTTGCTGCCGTACTTGCGATCCGTGATGACGCGGTCAACTTCCTGATGACCATCCATAGATGGAGGGTCCTGCGATCGTCGGCCCGGGAAGTCGTCGCTCTTAGCTGGTGTATATGTTGCCAGCTTCGAGGCGTGAAAGACTGGATGGACCGTCAGATGCGGGGGATGTTGATCACAAATGAGGGGCCATCGGGCTCGTCGCCCCCGGCTGATGTTACGGGCCATGGTCCAAACCACTTGGGAAGCAGTTTGCGTGAAACATCCTGTTCCAATGCAAACTCTTCCGCAAAGACCCAAACCAGATCACCGGCGCGGATGGGACATGGCACGCGACGCTTGTTGGCTTGCTGCTGCATGCGGACTTGAGCCTTTTGCATGTCCGTGCGAGCTTGAGCCAGCAATTCCCTATACTTCCAGACGGAAGCGGGAGAGCAAGCGGTGTCGATGTCGGCTGGTCGTGGGAGGAGCAGATCGGCGAAGATACGACCTTTCCGTCCACCGTGGTGCAACTCGAATGGAGTCACGCCGATCGCCGGGTGCACCGAAGTGTTGTAGGCGAACTCGATGTTGGGGAGGCGGTCAACCAAATCTTTCTTATCCGAATGGATGAGCGTACGAAGCATCATTTGAGCGGTTTGATGTGCCCGCTCGGTTTTCCCGTCCGTCTGTGGATGTCGAGCCAAACTTGGTTTCATCTTCGTGCCGGATTCCAGCATGAAAGAAGTCCAGAATGTCGACATGAAGCGAGTGTCGCGGTCGCTGACTGTGTCTTCCGGTACACCGTGGCCGCAAATCCATCCGGTGTGCAAGAGGCGTGCCAGCTCGGGAGCCGTGGAGTAGTACTTGCAAGGGAGAAAACGCACGTACTTACTCAAACGGTCAACTACCGTGAGGATGCCGTACCGGTCAACTACCGTGAGGATGCCGTACCGGTCAACTACCGTAAGGATGCCGTCGTGCCTGAGGCGATCGCGGGGAAATGGTCCGGTGACATCCATGGCAATGGAGAGGCCGGGTTCCCGTGGGATAGGCATCGGGCGCAACTCGCCGTAGGGGTTGCGATTGCGGGGCTTGCTTCGTCGACAAACTTCGCAAGAGTCGCAATACCCAGTGACATCGGTAATGAGGTCGGGCCATCGGAATCGTTGTCAAAGTCGTGCGATAGTGCGGTTGACTCCGAAAATGGCCGGCGAGTCACGAATCATGATACTCGCCGAGAAGGCGAGTCCCAAGACGGTGGGACACATAGTAAGTCCTTGCCCCGCGAGTGGAGGAGCAAGCACCCATCGACAATGCGATAGTGGCTGGCTGGCGGGTGATCCGAAGATAGTCGCGCATACAACGGATCGGACTCATAGCCTCGGATGAAGTGTCGCTGGAGTTCCTCGTCGAATGCGAAGGCATGATGTGTCATAGCGCAAAGATCGGGTCTTCGCGAGAGTGCATCTGCTGCGCGATTGGAGAGGCCGGGGAGGTGTTTCAGTGTGAAGTCAAATTGGTCGATGAAGTACATCCATCGTCCGATCGTGCTGCTCACCGTGTCCTGCGTCTTGTAGAAGGTCAATGGATTGTTGTCTATGACCCATGTGAACCTACGACGCCCAAGGAGGAAGTGCCGCCGCGCTTGAGAGCCATCACGAATGGGAGCAGCTCCTTCTTCCTTGCATCATCAAGCGAATTGATGGGAGGCACTTTGTGGMTGAAATACTCCACAGGGTGCYAGTCGTCGCCGTCGTGCTGTTCCAAGACTGCCCCAATGCCATAGCCGGAAGCGTCCGTAGTCACTCGCGTCGGCAGGGTGGGGTCATAAATGCTAAGGACGGGTGCCATGAGCATAGCCGTCTTAAGTGCTTGGAATGACCGACGTGCATCGTCATCGAATACGAATGGCACCTTTGGCGATTGTAATCTCGTCATAGGTGCAACAATCCTTGAGTACCCAGTGATGAATCGCTGATAGTAGCCCGCCAACCCCATGAATGAACGGACGTTCGTGGTGTTGGTGGGCTCGGGCCATAC